CCAGATGGGGTCAGCAAGTGGAAGAGGGTCCACAGGGCCCCCCAGATGGGGTCAGCAAGTGGAAGAGGGTCCCCCCGAGCCCCCCAGATGGGGTCCCCACGGGATGGGGGGGTCCCCGCGGCCCCAGATGGGAGTGGCCAAGGGAAGGGGGTCCCTTCCCCCAGGGTGGGGGGCCGGGGATGTGCCACCCCCGTTTGTGTCCCCAGGTCTCCGAGGACTCGGACTGTGACAGCGCAGAGCTGGACCACTCAGGCAGCGGCGAGGGGCCCCCCCGGCCCACAGCCCCCCCGGGCCTGTGACCTGTGTGCCCCCACGCCCCCCACCCTGCACTCCCCCACTTGTACAGCCCCGAATATTTATATAAATATCTATCGCTCTCTACTGCGCTGCTGCCTTGGGGGGCTCTGGGGGGAAAAGGGGCAGGGGGCTCGGGGCCCCCCCTGGTTTGTGCAGGTGCTGCTGAAACCCCCCCAGGGCAGAGGGAGCTGCCCCCCAGCTCAGAGGGGGGAAATGGGGGGACAGGGAGGGGATTTTGTCACTCCTGTAGGTGCCAGGGGGAGGTAGGGGGAGGGCAGAGGGGGAACAGAACCAACAGCCGGTTCCCATTTCAGACCAGTTTGGAGGGAAAGGGGAAAGATCCCCCAAAAATTCACCTGGAGGGGCAAAGTTCCCTGCCCAGGACTGGTTCATCCCATTCCAGTGGGACTCCAAGACCCAACTGGGCCATACTGGGAGCACTGGGTTGGTCCTCCACCCTCTGGCAGGATACCAAACACCAGCTGCGGTGGTTTGTTCCTCTCCAGAACCAAACTGGACCATACTGGGAGCACTGGGAAGAGCCAGGGGGGTTTCAAATAAAGACTGAGACAGGCAGATCCATTAACCAAAATATCCTGCAGGTTCTATTCACAAGGAAAAGCTCCAGTCCATCTTTTTATTCAGTTTTTTTTTTGAAAAATTTCCTGACGTTACAGAACTAAACTGAAATGGTTTTTTTTTAGTTTTTTTTTTGCTTTTTTTCGTTTTTCTTCCACTCTTACATTTCATGACAAAAACAGAACTTCATGAGCCGAAAAAACTGGGAGAGGAGGGGAGAAGGTGCTGGGGGGGGTGGGGAGAGGAGAGAGAGAAGCTTTATAAAACTAAGATTTGGGGTTCAGCAATTTTAAGAGCTGAACAGAGGAATTAAAATGCTTTTAATTTGAGAGGAAAAAAAAAAAAAATAACCCCAAAAAAAAAAAAAAAAACGAAAAACAAAAAAAAAAAAAAAAATCAAAACAACCTGGTGAGTGGCGCGAGGCTGGAGGAACCGAAAATGTACAAACTAGTTTAAAACCTGGGTCGGTGCTAAGGGGCCGCAGATGGATGGCGAGGCGGGGGGGTCCGGGGCCCCCCTAACTGCTGCCCATGCCCCCGGTCTCCGAGGAGAGCCTGCAACGAGAAAAGGGCGTCAGAGAGACCCCCCAGCACCGAGAGGGGCGGGAGGGACGCCCTGGGCGGGGGCAGGGGAGCCCCTCGGGGCGGGCAGGACGGGGACCCCCCCTCAGCAGGGCGTGGGGGGTTTGCACAAGCAGCCAGGGAAGGGAGGTGCCCTTCCCCACCTGGAACAGCGCTGGGAGGGTCCTGGGGGGGTCCTGGGGGGGTCCCGGGGGTCTGGGCTGAGCGTGGCGGGCTCTGCTCCGAGGGTTTGGGGAGGGGGAGATCCACGGGACCCCCAGGCGGGGGGGAGGAGGCAGCGGAGGAGGGAGCGCAGGGGAGGGGGGCACCTCCAGCAGGGACCCCCGGGGACACACAGACACTGCACAGGGGCCCTGGGCCAGCAGGGACCCCCGGGGCAGCCCACCCCCCGGCCACGCTGCGGTTTGGGGGTGAGGAGACCCCCCCAGGCAGAGGGGACCCCCGGGCCGGGCCCCGCTGCGGCACAGATCTACCAGAGCAGATTCTCACCGTGGCAACTTTATTACAGGTACAGACAGTTAAGAGAGGACAGGTGAGGCCCCCCAGGGCACCGGGGATGCAGTTCCCCCTCCCCCAGAAAAAAATCACAGAGTCCCCTCCCTCCCTCCACCCCCCTAATCCCACCCCAAACCCCACAGCTGCACCCAAACTACTCAAAAAAAATGGGAAAAGGAGGAGAAATGGAAAAATAAAAATTAAAAAAACCAAAAACCTAACGAGCAACAACTACAGGCAGGCAGAGAGGGAGTTGTGACCGCTCACAGGACAAAGGGACACAGTCTCTCGGCCGGCAAGAAAAGCTCTGCTGCTGCAGCGGCAGCGCGAGCGCGGTACGGAGGAAAAGTTACCAAAAATGATAAAAAAAGAGGAAAAAAAAAACCCAAAAAATCTGCTGTTCCAAGTCTCCTCTCCGGGGTCCTGGTGCTGCCACCCCTGGAGCAGCCTCAGTACGGGGAAAACCTTTGCTTCTCCGCTTTGAGTTTGTTAGTGACACAGGGCACGGCGGGCGCCGCGGCGCCTTTGGCCGCAGACACGACATTTAGCGCCAGGAGAGGGACAGGTTTCATGCCAAGCAGACTGGAGACACAAGGGGCGGTCGGAAGAGGGTTGGGGAGGCTGGAGGGTGCGTCGGAGGCCCCCGCGGTGGCGAGCGAGGGGGTGGTGGTGGAGGAGGAAGAAGAAGAAGGGGTGGAGGGTTGAGAGAGGTTGATGCTGAGGTGGTCAGGGATCGTGACGGAGGCTGCCTGGGAGGAGGGTTTAGCGCTTTCTAAACTGTAACAGAGGAGAAAAAAAAAAAAAAAAAAAAAAAAAAAAAAAAAAAAAAAAAAAAAAAAAAAAAAAAAGAAAAAAAAAAGAAAAAAAAATACACGGGTGTGGGTGGGAGGGAAGGAACAGCACAAAATGCGAAAAAAAAGCACAGGACAAACAGCGAAAACGGCGCAGGAGCCGAGCTGGGGGAGGGAAGGAGGGAGGGAAGGAGGGAGGGACTGAGGGAGGGAAGGGATGGTGCTGCCAGGCCTGGCCCAGCTGCACACGGGACCCCCACACCCCCCAGAGGAGCCCGGCCTGGCCCCAAGGGTTCCCCGTGCGCCGGGAAGGAGCCAAAATCCAGAGAGAACCAGCAGCAGCCGCTGCTCCGCGGCAGCAGGGACAGCCCGGGGACCCCCCAGCCCCTCTCAGCCAGGAGAGGGGACTGCCAGCTCCAGGCAGGGATCAGGGGACACCGACGGGGACACCGACGGGGCAGCCCTGGCCGTGCCAGGCTCCCCACGGCCCCCGAGCACAGCCAGGTGCTGCGGCAGCACCGGCAGCTCGCCGGGACGGGGTCCCACCAGGACGGGGCTGGGCAGCCCCTCCTGCCACCCCTCAGGGCGGCACAGCCGAGGGGCAGCTCCCCCCAGCCCCAGCCTCGCCCTGCAGGGGTGGCAGCGGGGACAGGGACAGCAGGCACGGGAGGGGACGGGACAGGGGACAGGGGACAGCCCTTCCCTCATGCGGGGCGCGGGAGGGAGGGCGCGCCAGGCCAGGGCACTCACCTGACATTGATTAGATACTGGGCCAGGCTGATGCTCGCTGCAGATCCAGTTATGGTCACCTGCCTGTCAGTAGAGCCTTCCACGGGGTTGGCAATCTTGATCTGAGCCCCGGACATCTGGCGGATCTCGTTGATCTTGGCGCCCTGACGCCCGATGATGCAGCCAATCAGCTGGGAAGGGAGAGAAGGGGTTAACTCGGGGTTAACTCGGGGTTAACTCGGGGTTAACTCGGCCTCAGCCCGCCCTGCCACCTCCTTGGGGACACGGGGAATTCCTGCAGGGAGAGGGCTGGCCCAGCCCCACAGGCTGCCCACCGGCCTTGGAGGTGTCTGAAATAAATGGGGAGGATGAGGCCCTTGGGGACACAGCTCAGGGCTGGGGACAGCTGCACTTGGTGGCCTTGAAGGCCTCCTCCAGCCTCCACAGTTCCACAAAACCATGGGATTCCTGGGAGTGGGGTTTTCGTTGGAAAGGGGGGGTTCAGGGATTGAAAAAGGGCTTTTCTGCCTTGAAGATCACTGGAATGGGGACAAGGGACGTGCTGGCAGCCAGAGTGGCCTGAAGAGGCCGTTTGGGATGCAGCCACGAGCCCAGCACAGCCTCAAAGGCAAGGCCAGGCACCCCCAGCCCCCGTGAGAGGGGCAGCCACCCCCCAGCCCCAGACCCCCGGGATACTCACATCGTTTGGAATGGTGAGTTCATGGGAGGTGGTTTGGGCAGAAGCATCCAAACCTGCTCGGAGACAGAGAGAGGGGCCCAGGTGAGGGCGGGGGCAGCCGGGGGGTGCAGCAGCCCAAGTGCTGCCAGGCTCAGGCTGCCTGCGAGGGCTCCGAGCACAGGGGAGGGCACAGCAGGCAGGGAGGTTACGCCAGAGCCCGCTGCTCCCCAGCCCTGCCTCCCTGCTCCCCCTCTCAGCCCCGGGGCTCTCCCCTCTGCGTCCCCTCCCCGTGGGGATTCTCCATCAAGGCGGGACAATCCCGGAGCAGGGGCTGGCACTGAGGGGCTCCAGCCGGGCACTCGGCTCCAATCTCGCTTTCAAAGGCCAGCCTTCCCCTCCTCCCTGCCATCCCTGCGTGCTAGGCAGGTGCTGGGAGGCTGCTCACACCCCACACGGGGCTGAGCTCGTGTGCCTGGGGCGTTTTGAACACTTCTCCACTTTTCTCCCCTTCCCCTGCTCGCTCCCTGCGAGAGGGAGCAGCGGTGGCCTCCAGCCCTCGCAGCGGGGCTGTGGCAGGGGGACACAGCAGGTGACACAGGTGACACTCGGTGCTGTCCCCGACTCCCGGGGCAGCTCCAGCCCCTCCTCGGCCGGGGGCTGCTCCCCTCCGTGTGTTTTTTGGGGTGAGGGGTTAAAGCTCGGGGCCCACAGCTCGCTGGCACAGCCGAGCCTCCACCCAGCCCTGCTGCTCTCCACTATCCAGCTGTGCTCCAGGGCCCAGGCAGCCGAGCCAGGCTGCACCTCCAGCCCCTCTGGGCTCCCCTCAACCCCCGTTCCCCCCATCCAGGCAGCATCTATCAGGCAGAATGAGACCCCGGCAGCATCAATACACAAGAGAGCAACTACAGATCGTGTGTTTGGATCATTACCCCAATAGCCTTTCACCTCGGGAGAGCTGGAGTCAACGCCTGTTAAGATACAAGTCACAATGAGTTTGGCTGTCTCAAGTTTAGAGCCCCAAACGGGTAATTTTGATTTTTTTTTTTCTTTTTTAGATGGCTTGGTTTTATCTCAGCCATCTTAGCAAATCTACAGCGAATTTGGTACAAGTCAGCAGTCGCCTGCTTTAGGCCTGGAGCAGCCGGAGGGCAGAGAGCGGGTGCTGCGGGCCGGGGCCTCCCAGAGCGCTGGCAGAGCTGCGAGGACGGCGGGCACGAGGGGGGAGCAGCGTGGGTGGGTGGGTGGGTGGGTGGGTGCAGGCCCTGTCCCTGCGGCCCCAGGCACGCCACACGAGCAGCAGCCCCTGGCTGGGTGCGCGGGGCCGGGCGTGGGCGAGCACGGCCCCCACGCGGGAGCCACCGGCCGGGCACGAACGCACACGGAGAGAAGGAGTTTCCGTACCACTGAATCCAGTGTTGCCATGAGACATTGGAAAGTGTGACTGTTGCATTGCCAACTGGTGCAGCTTGGTCAGCTAGAGGAGGGAGAAGGGAAGAGAGGGAGAGAGAGAGAGAGAGAGAGGCTGGCGTTAGCCATTTCCCGAGGCCGGGGGCCAGCACTCGCCGCGCGCACCCGCACGGACGCGGCCCCGCCGCCCGCCCCGGCCCCTCCGCGCTGCCCCGGCCCCGCCGGGCGGGCTGGGGGCCGTGCCCACCCCCCCTCGGTGCAGCAAGGGCTGGAGGAGCGCAGCAACAGAAGCAGAGAGGGGCGGGAGGAGGGAGCAGGTGCCCGCGGCGCGGCGGGGAGCGGGCACGGAGCCGCTCGGCTCTGCCGCGCCGGCCCGGCTCCCTCGGGGGAGCCCCCGGCCCACCAGACCCCCCTCGCTGCCCTACAGGTGCCAGGAGCAGAGAGCAGCCCCTACGGGATGAGGATGGGTGCCAGAGGATGGAGGTGTCCGGCCGCCGCCGGGATGGGCCCTCCGCTCCCGGCCGGGCTGGGCCGGGTCCAGCCCCCCTCCCCGCCTGCCACCTGCGCCCATCGCCGGGCCAGCTGTCCCCTGCCCCGGGAGAGCCACCGAGTGCCGGCTGGGGGGGCCGTTCTCGTGCCAAATTGAGGGGGGGGCGGGGGGCAAAGGAAAAGCCAGAGCTGGTGTGAAATGCCAAGCCAGGGAGAGGTGGGTTTGGAAAAAAAATATAATAAGGAGGAGGGAAGTGTCAGAGAGGAGGTGGGGGAGGATCCAAGGAGAGATCTGAGGCCAGCTGAAGCTGGCTGCAGCAGGGCCAGCTGGGGGGTGGGGGGGGGTGTTTTTTGGGGGGGAGGATCTGGGGAGCTCAGATCAGATCGAGCATTCAGCCCCCAAGCTGAGCCAGCTCGAGTGGAGAAAGCACGGAGAAAATTTTTGGAAGGTGGGGGAGGAAAAGGGTGGATTTTCAAGACAAGAAGTTGTAAATAAAAACTTACATCTGGCTGTGGAATGGCATACTGTCCTTGAATGGTATAGGCCTACAAAAGGAGGAAAACAGTCCTATTAACAACCATCGGACAGCCACCCAGGGACAGACAGATTTCAACTAGCCAGGAAGTCAGAGAGCCAAGGTGGAGAGTTCTCCGGGGCGAGGGAAGTGGGGCAGGAGAGGCGGGGACGGATAAATGCTGTCACAAGCAGTTTCTAGGCTGGCGGTTACTCGAATTGGCCTGACGTGGCGGGTACCGGGAGGGGGTGGGCAGAATCGGTGCCGTCCCCCCCCAAAAAAAAAAAAACAAAAAAAAAAAAAAAAAAAAAAAAAAAAAAAAAAAAGAAAAAAGGAAAAAAAGAAAAAAAAAACCAAAACCAACAAGAGAACGGCTGGGATCTTGATGAAGATGTTATGGTGTGGTGAGTCCGACAATGCTGCTATCCCTGCGCCCCCGCGCAGGCAGGGAGGATCCAACGCCCCCGCCGGCCCTGCTGCTGCTCCTGGCCCCTCTCTGCCCCGGCCCGGCAGCTCCCCCGCCTCCCCTCCCACCCCAAAAAAAAGGTTTGCCCCGTTCCGAGTCCTCTCGTCACTCCACACGCCTAGGACAACGTCGCCGGGCAAGCTAGAGGTCAGTGCTGGCGCTGGCTACCACTGCTCACACGGCCCAGTGCTCGGAGGGGAACGAGGCGAGGGCCTGACCTGCCACAACTCCGTGTCCCCCCGGTTACAGGGGACAGCCACAGACTTCAGATTCCTCCTGAAGCTACCCAGAAAGGGCGAGGCACTGGCTGGGGCCTGGCTGGCTAAGGTTTGGGGAGGTCTGGGGGGGCCGGGCAGGTGGGGGCGGGTGGGAGAGGAGGGGGAGAGGGGGGTACACAGCCTCACTTCCAGGTCACCGGAAGAACTGCAGCCCAGGCTGGAATTGGCCCAAGTTCGTTGCCATGCAGTGGCTGCCGGGTGGCCTGCGTGAGGAGAGGTTGGTGGGCTCAGAGTCCAGTTCCCAGTGGACAGGAGTCCACAGCACAAAAAGCCACCGTTGTCGGTTTTGGGGGACGGGGACAGGGATGCCACCCTTGTTGGCAGTCTCAGAGAGGCCAAGGATTGAACGGGCCGTGGAGACTGAACTCCCCTCTCACCTCCTGAGGTGGTCCCTCCAAGTCAGAGTTGAGGCACATGGATGGGGCGGTGTGGGGGTAGCTCGCACTGCCGCTGCTGTACCTGTCCTGTGGATAAATTAGAGGACTTCAGTCTCCAGGGCTGTCAATCCGAAACCTTTCGCTAACACCAAACTCAACATCCACATTAGCTCAGTGCTGATCGAGGGCTCGCCCTGCTCTACGCACGACTCTGAGCTGCGAAGACAGAGAGCGCAAGGCCCACCGGGAGCGGGGCCCGGGGGCTGCTGCGGGCCTGGGCCGGGGACGGGGGCGGAAAGAAGGAAGGGGGAGAAGAGGGGCAAGGGGAGGGAAGAGATGCGTGGCTGTGGGAAGCCTGCTCCTCACTGCTCTAACGGGGAAGGCGGCCGGCTCCCGCCCCGGGGGTCCGCTCGCCGCGGCCCCGCCGCTGGCCCCGGCGTGCAGAGCGGCGGGAGAAGCTGTCGGGGAGGCGGGAGGGCTGACCGGGTTCAGGTGGGGAGGAAGAGGCAAGGAGAGGGGCAGGGGTGGGGAGGAAGGGGACGGCGGCAGGTCCGTGCCCAGAACAAGCGTGGCGGGGCTGGGAGGGAGGAGAGCAGAGTCAGGCCCGGCTCTCGGGGAGGCCGGCGGCAGCTACAGCCCTTCCCTGAGCCCTTCCCTGCCTACGGAGGTGGCACTGAGAGAGCCAGGCCCTGCCCACCCGAGGGGTCCCTGGCAGCAGGAAGGCAGCGGCTGTCGCCGTGGTTTCTCCGAGCGCTGGGGCAGCCCCGGGGCGCGGGGTGGGAGCAGCTGAGCGCACCTGGGCCCCGCCAGCCCGGGGTGTTACAGCGGACAGGACCCAAGGGACTCCTGTCCCCTGTAAGGGGCGCAGGGCTCGGGCACCCCCCAGCTCAGCGCAGGAGGGACTAAAGCCCAGCCACCTGACACTACTCCTATCTGACACCCTGCCCTCCTGAGAGACGAAGCCTTTGCGCACCCCAACCCTACCCACGGCACAGGCTGAGCCGTTGTACCCCGAAAACCAGTGGCAGAGAGCAGAGAACCCCCAGCCTCCGGGCCAGCCACCCACAGGAGGTCACAGCGAGTCCTTGGAGCCAGCCCGAGGCAGAGGGGCAGAGCCTGGCTTAGGCAGCTCGGCCCCACTCAAACCCCCACTGCCACCACCACACTGGCAGGCAAAAGGTTTTTTTTTTTTTTGGCCGGGTAATTCCAGGAGCGTTTTCCAGCACCCTCTCCTCCCAAACCGGCCCTTTTCCCTGCTGCCCTCCCTCAGCAGGGCAGGGGGCCGAGGCCCAGCCCAGCCGCCTGGGGCCGAGGGCACGGCGTGGGTGACGGGCGCGCGGGGCGCGCTGGCTGCTCGGACCGACCCCCCCGCCCCACCCCGCACCCCAGGAGCAGAGGAGAGGCCTTACCTGGCCGCCTGCAAAGATGACGGGAGAGCTGGATGGCTTGGGCCGGTACGGGATGGTGACACCCTTCGGGGGAGACTGCGCGACAGGCAGAGAGGACAGGTCAGGCACCGAGCGCCCGGCACCGACAGCCCGCTCCCCGCGCCCCAGGGCTCTGCCCTGCACTGCCAGCTGGCCCTCCGGCCACCCAGGGCACCGTGACTCCTTCCCACCCTGGGCTCGGGGCCGACGGAGGACAGCCAGGAGCACAGCAGGGCCGTGGGTGATGCCACGAGCTCCTCGAGGCCCTGCTCGACCCCGTTTTAAGCAGCTCCGAGCCTCACCTGGATGAGGCTGTAATCCCCAGCTATCCCTTTATCCCCCAGCAGCTGTTTTCTTCTCCCCCTCAGCACCTCCACCCCTCCGAGGGCAGCGGGGTGCCCGCAGCACCAGCCCCCCTGGGCAGGCCCGAGGAGGGGCCCTACCTCAAGCATGACGACGCAGATCTGTTTGACGCACTCGATGATGGACTGTGGGATCCCAGCGATGGTGATGGCTCGCTCAGTCGAGTTGGGCAGCATGTCTCCTGCCACCTGGACCTGTGCCCCCGTGCTCTGCCAAGTCAGGGGTAAAAATAGCCTGTCAGACCCCGGGCAGGGCTGAGACCTCAGCGGCCAACCCCGTGCATGGTTATACATAGCCAAAACTGCCCCCCAGCTCCTCCTTTCCCCCAAAATAAAGTCCTTTAATCCCAGCTGGATACAATTCGGTCACCAGGAGCCTGAGGCAGCAGAGGGGACCTGGCCCCAGCCTGTCCCTGTAACCCAAGCCAAGCCAGTCTCCACGGCAGCAGAGTTAACCCAGCAGCACCCAGTGCTAAATGGCACGGCCAAGGGCAGCGCTGGCCTGGAGCCCAGCTCCCTCTCCAAAATCTGGGAAAAGCCTGGGGAGAGGGCAGTCAGGAGCCATGGGAAGGGGGCAGCAGGAAGCCAGGCTGTGAGAACAGTACCAGGCAGAGAAGTCTCTCTGAGTTTGCCAAGCACTAAAATACAGGGAGCACCAAAAACCCCCGTGATGCCACATCCCTTGGGCAGGGACAGCGCAGGGATTCACCCTTGGGGGCACCTGGGCCCTCCCCGGGCTGGCCACACGCACCTCTCGGATCTCCTTGATCTTGCAGCCTCCTTTGCCAATCAGGGACCCGCACTGGCTGGCGGGGACCACAAGCCGGAGGGTGACCGGGGGCCGGCTGGCAGCTGTGCTGTTGGTCATGGAGCTGCTGATGTCCTGCGAGGAAGAGGAGGTGTTGAGGGCTCAGCCCGGCTGGAACGGCACGCGCTGGGGACGTGCCCGGCACAGGGACAGGGAGGTGACGCTGGCACCAGTGGCCGAGGCCAAGGTGACCTCGGGGCTTTCCCAGGACTTCCTCCGCAGCCCAGAAAAAAACACGGATGTATTTTGGGGAAGCAGCAGCCAAACTCTGCTGCCTCAGTGGAAATGGGTTTAGGCACTGGCCCAGGCTGGGTCCCACCTCAGCCAAGCAGGAACCGGTGCTGGAGGGGGACAAGGGACCGGGGGGGCTCGGGGACTCCGCGGCTCCAGGGTCAGCACGCAGCCTCCCGCCGCACCAGGGATCAAGGCAGCGGCTCCGGGAAAAACAATCCCGGCGCCGATTACAGCGGTCATGTGCTGGCAGGGGGAGGGGAGGCACAAGGCCAGGGCTCAACTGACCTACTAAAAGCAAAGCTTCAGCTCCAAGGCCGGTGCCCAGAGCGCTGCAGAGCCGTGCAGCCCGTGGAGGACTCTGGCTCCCCGCATTCAGCACAAACAGCTCCAAACCCTGCAGCCTTTAACGCTGCAGTGAGAGCAGGGGGGTTTGGGGACAGGGCTGCCAGCTCAGGCTTGTTTCTCCCTGGGTAGCGTCCCAAATCTAAAGGGCAATGGAATTTGTACCCCCACAGGCAAGGCGAGGGCCACAGAGCTCTGCCCCACACCAAGTGAGGAGCACTGCCAACTCCTGATCCCTCCAATGTGGAAATCTCGACATCGCAGCCCTGAGCAGGCTCTAACACCTGCAAGGCTCATGTTATCTAGCAGCAAAATCCCCCCTGGAAGTCACTGATTTGACAGGACCAGGGACACGATGCAGCTCCTTCAGCCCCACAGAGCTGCAGCCCCAGCTCCTCCTTGGCAGGGCTGGGGACAGAACTGAGCCCTGGGGTGGGCTGGGGGAAGAAGTGGCACTAGCACGAGCAGAGCCAGGGGGATTCCAAAGCTGTGGGCAGAAGTCCCTGCGGGGCTCTGGCTGCAGCACTGCCTGGACCTTGCCCCAGCGCAGCGCCGGACAAAGATCGGGGCCAGGCAGGGAAGCTGCCCGTGCGGAACAGCGGCGCCGGGCCCCCGGGGGCTCGGCTGGGGTCAGCCCTTCCGGAGAGCGGGGCAGAACGGGGCGGTGACTGCAGGACACACCTCTTCCAGTTTGTCAATGATCATCGCAAAAGCTTTGAAGATGGCGTTGGTGGGTCCCGCGAGGGTGATGATCCGCTCGGGGCAGTTCCCTTCCGAGATGTTGATGCGAGCTCCGCTCTGCGGGGAGGCAAACGCCACCTCAGTGCTCCGGGATTGCTCCGGATCGCCCGCTGGGCAGAGCCCTCCCTCCTCCTCCTCCTCCTCCCCTCCCTCGGCTCGGGCAGCCATCTTCTCCTCCTCGGCTTCCTGCCGCGCCTGCCCACACCTCCCGGCATTCCGCGCGCCGCCGCGCTGCCTGCGGAGCGCGGCCGGGCCGCCATCGCGCCCGCAGCCCGCCACTCACCTCCTCTCGCATCTTCTTCACCGACTCGCCTTTCTGTGAGGGACAGAGAAGGGAGACAGCGTCAGCGCGGCGCCGGGGAGCCACGGAGGGAGGGGGACGGGGAGAAGGGGAAAGGGAGGGCTGGGAGAGTTTGTTCCTCACTTACCTTCCCAATGATGCTTCCCACCTCCTGGGATGGAAACAAAAGCACCATTAGTCAGCGTTTTAAAAACTCCTGGAGCCCCAAGCCTAAACTCGGCTCTTTTCACAGTCAAAACAAGCTCCTGAGCACTTGAGATCTGCCCCTCAGATGACTGGGGTTTATCCCAGTTGTGTTGATCTCGCTCCCACCCGGTCGATCTGTCAACCCCAATAGTTATTTCCTTCGCTGGCTGCACCCCGGGATCTGCCCGGGCGCCCACAGCACATTCCTGGCCCCGCAGCAGCTCCAGGAGATCCCACGGACGCACCCAGCCCACCCGTGCCAGGCCCGGGCTCCCCGCAGAGGGGACACGAACCTTTCCGTGCATGAGTAGCCGGATGGTGAGTGTGACATTGAGACCCCCTTCGATGACTCCGGTGTCCATGGTGGGCAGCGCGGGGTCGGCTCAGGCTGTGGCAATGCTCGGGCCTCGGCTGGGGGGAGAGGGGCTGGATGAGAGAGGGGCTCTGCCAATCCCCCCAAGCCTGTCCAGGCAGGATTCCAGCCTCCCTGGGCTGCTTCTCCCCTCAAATCGCCCCCTCAAGTGCTGGGACGGTCCGTGGTGCTTTAGCTCCTCCTCCTACGAATTTCCAGAGCTGAACTGGCCCGATCCCAACTGGACCCAGCAACTCTTGGGGTCATGAGGGTCCTGCTCAGCCCCTGCCTCCTGCCAGCCCTGTTCTGTGCAGGGGCTTCTCTGAGGGACACCTGAATACTTGAGGGTGACCCCCGGCAGCACTGGGGACTCAAACGGTTCCTGGACACGACCAGGGACGCCGAGGGGGCACTGAGGGCTAATCGTGGTCCCTCCGGGTCCGGGGAAGCTGCCGCTCCCTCCGAGCCCCACGCTTTTCCCAGCCCATGCCTTCCCGCAGCTGCCCGATGGGAGCGGGCACCCCGGTCCCGGGGGTTTGGCCCGCTGGGCAGCCGGGATTACGGAGAAAAGAAAGTCCACCGGCTGCCCCCGAGCCCGCGCGGGGCCCCTCGGAGCAGGTTCCGAGGCGATTCCCTCGGACCCAGATAAGGGCACATGAGCGCACGATCAGGTTTCAAACCACCTGAGTCGGCAGCGCTTGCAAAACAGCCCGGCCGGCCCCAGCCGAGCGTTTCACGGCAGTCCGGTAAATAATCTCCCATTTCGGCCTCCGCTTCTGCCCCATCAAAGTTTACCCGCGGCCCAGCCCGGCCCGGGGCCGCGCTGCCTCGCTGGCACCGGAGGGTTTGGCCGCGGCTCCGTGAGCCCGGCCCGGGATCCGGCCCCGGCAGCGGGGCGAGGGCGGCCCGGGCCCGGCCGGGGACAAAAGGGGCCCGGGCCGGGCTCCCGGCGAGGCCTTTCCGCAGGGAAACTTCCCCGATGGCGCCGCGCCCGGAGCTCCGGCCCGAACCGGGGACGCGGCCCCGGAGCCAGCCCGGCCCTGCGCGGGGCAGAACCGGGCCGGGGTCCCGGGCCGGGGTCCCGGGCCGGGAGCGGGTGAGGGGATCCCGGGCCCGGGCTCCGGCCGGCGGCTCGGAGCGCACTCGGGAGCGGGGATCGCCGCCCCGCCGCGGGCAGCCCCGCGGGGCCGATCCCGATCCCGGGGCCGATCCCGATCCCGGGGCCGATCCCGATCCCGGGGCCGATCCCGGGGCCGGCGGGGCGGCGGCGCACCGCGCGGGCCCGGCCGAGCGCCGCCTTCCCGCTCCGGCGGGGGAAAACAACAGCGCGGGATGGCGGAAAGACCGGGCCCGGGCGCGAAAAACTCCCAAAATACAGCCAAAAAAACTGAAAGGGAAGGAAAAAAAATCAAAAAATCCAACTCCAAAAATGCAAATAGTAAGCAAACCAAAACCCTATCACCACCTCAAAGCATTTCTCTGCCTCCGTCCTCCTTCCCCCGAAAAAAAAAAAAAAAAGTCCCCCCGCCCCTCGGGCCCCCCCGCCGCCGGGCCGGGCCGGGCGGGGGGCGGCGGCGCCGGGTGACGCAGGCGGGGCCCGGCCGGGCCCCCCCGGCCCGGGGCCGGCGGGGGGGCCGGGGCGGCGGCGCGCGGGCCCCGGGGCCGTTGCGGGCCCGGCCGGCGGCGCGGGCCGCACAGGCCGCGC